AGGGGGTTGCTTTCAATTCTTCCGCTTGTGGATACTTTAGTTCAGGTAGTTGATTAGTCTGACTCAATGCTGCATACATTGAAGTTCTGTTGATAGATTACTAAGATCTTAAAGGATGCAAATCATTTTTTACATATTTCAAGTAAGTTTTTTATTTGCATATTGCATTTTAAAGTATAAGGGGATCAAGCTTGTGGATCGGACTAATGACGTTACGATACTTGAATTCTTGATGTAGATGCTACATAAGGATCTGATTTTCATGATGTTTTGGCTTTTATCAAATAGCTTTGGTATTTAATTGGTTATTATAATTGACATTGCAACTGAATTGATCTGACTAATTGAAGTTTTATTGATATATAATATGTATATTGAAGGAAGCAAAACCAGCTTTTACAAGTTCAAATAGCATTTGAATTTGTGGGACTCTTAAGAAGTTGAATGCCATCTTGTTTGAGATTTGACTTTGAAAACGTTGCAATTGCTGTGGACATTAAATGAACTTTGAGGAAATAATATTCATCTGCTTTTGCAATCTGGCAGTGTTTCCCGACCGAAGTGCCCCAGTTAATTAGCACAACTATTCAGGTAATTGGGCTCTTTGCTTTGCCTCTGATCGATTTTCTGGTAGCATCCTTAGTTTTCTCCATTTTCTCTATTATGCACTCTAGGCAGATTTATTAAGTTCAAATTTTGCAATATCTTGCTAGAAATTAATCACCATATGCCTGACTGGAGGAGATGATATCGATCCTTCTAAAACAGCTGTTAAGGCATCTTCTGCAGCCATACTAGCGAGGGTTTTAGTCATGAACACTAACTATCTTGCGCAACTGACGTCGGAACCATCACTTTTAACACTCTTACAGAAAGCTGGATTCCCAAGTGAAGAAAGTGTACTTCTTTGCCTGGTAGATGTATGGCTTGACAAGGTTAGAATTTGTCTGTGTATTAGTTGTGATGTAATTACCATAAAGCTCTTTGTTTCATCCTGGAAAAATATGGTGTAATGATACCTGCATGGCTCACCACTTCAAATCTTCTCGGCATCTTGGTAATTCCATATTGTCTTTTGTCATTTGTGCTACATTAGCAAATCTAAATTTAACTGGAACAGCCACATGCAGATGCCACATCCGATGCTTCTGTTAGGATTTGTGTAATCCTTGCTTGATGCCATGTTATTAGATGTACACGTAAGTTCTTGCACATTTGAGTTTGTCTTTTCTATATACTCTTGTCGAAGCATTTAAGAAGAGGTGCGAAGGGAAGTTCTCTTGACCAGGAGTTATATTTGCTTTAGATACGGTGCTTGAAACCTCGAGGGTATAAAAATGTGTTGGGGTAAAAGCTTAAATTTAGTTATAAATTAATCTGCAACAGCCTTGTCATATGACTTTTTTGGGTAACATTGAAGCTGTCATGATGTCTTGAAAACGTGGGATTGATTTGCAGAGTATTGTGCATTTTTGTTCCTACAGCTCCTTCAAAATGCTATCTCCGATAGCCTTGAGACTGCATCATCGATACCAACAAACTCTGAATATGCAATGTGCATCACCGTGATTTTGCATTGCTCATGTGACTGTAATTAGAATTTAGTTTCAATTCGCTTCCTTTTTTCCTCTCTAATATACATTTCTAATTGGATCTTTCTTCTTACATTTCCCTCCTTGGAATATGTGCAGGTTGACATTGTAATTTCCACTCAGAGGAAGACATTTGGTTTAGCTCTTTCAATAATTTTAACTTTGAGATTGCCTCAAGTACTTGATAAACTTGATCAGATCCTAAGGTACTTCTTCAAATGCGTTTTGGTGATCTCTTGTGCTATTCTAGCAGCAGTGATTTATTCTTTAATGCGATGTTGATGAGATTTGTTCTTTGTAGTGTATGTACAAGTGTGATATTGGGTGGAAATGGGGACTTAAATGAGGAGGAATCGAGGTTTGATATATCATTGTCCTTGTCTTAGTATGATTAGGCTGACAAATCCTCTAATGTTCTTTTCTGATTGGAACTCAAATTTACTTGAAATACAGTAGTGATAACACGTATTCCAGCAGCCCACAAGTTCCTAGCAAAGAGTTGAGGAGGAGAGAGGTATACTGCTTCTGTATATCATGGAATCACATATATTTGGTCACATAAATCTTTTACTTATTTAGTTGGTTCATTTGCAGATCAAATTCTCTGACCCAATAAACCAGATTTCCTTGGAGAACTCAGTGAGGGAAAATCTCCAAACTTGTGCGACTCTTCATGGGGAATCATTTAATGCTGCCATTTCAAGAATGCATCCTGCAGCATTTGGGCAATTAAAACAGGCACTAAAAATGCCATAGGCTACAGGTGACTTCTCATGCATACAATGGAGAGAGCAGTTTTTTGTATTTGCGCGAGCCAGTGAAAATTGAAGGAATATAGGTAAGTTGCTTATTCCCAGAAAAGCTAGTGCATTGCATCGGATGGAATGAATCCAGGGGGGTGGGGGTTCTTATTTTTATCCTCTCAAAAAATTAAGTTTTGTTAAAAATAAGTCATTTTAAAAATCATAACTTAAACGTAAATTTGACTTACTTTAAAGAAGGGCCAAACATTACTCTAAGGGCCCGTTTGATTGGCAAAGGTGAAAAGGCTTTCCAATGTCATGTAAGTCGGAAAATAAAAACCGAAGTACCCTATATGAATGCATTTTCCATCAATTTGGCAAAAAACAAGCTTAAAGTGGTTGTACCTTTGTTATTCGAACTCCATTTCCACTTTCGTATCAAACGGCCAAAGTAGAAATTGAATTCGTCGGATGTGACATTTTCCATGGAATTTAAACCAATCAAACAGACCTTAAAGCATTAAAAAATCTTTCAACAGTAAAATCAGATTACATGTGATTATCTGTAAAATTTTAAATGAGGATGCGGGTGGAGATACTTTAAGCATGCAGTTGTGGAAATCTAAGGTATAGGAGTCACAAGTTCACTTTAAAGCATGCAGGTGTTGGTGCAATAGCAAGTGACCTTTAGCGTCAAAGAATAAAACCTAAGGTATAGGAGTCACAGTCACATAGAAGTCTTTAATTTTTTTGTTTTTAACTATGATAACAAGTGGAGTAGATTCTAGAAGAACAGAAGAACTTAAAAAGCTATTCATTAGACCGGGATCATCCGAGTACTAAACGAAGTATTAGAGTAACTAAGGAAAAACCAGTGTAATTAGAGTCCCCTGTTGTTAAGGAGCAAATCAAATGGGAAAAACCTCTATACAAGAGTAATTGCATGCCTCGACTTGTCATTAGAGTTCAACATGCTGCCCACAGCTTAACATGCAAGTGTTTGCGCTTTGATATGGTGAGCATTTGAGTTGGCCCTTAGATATATAATTCTACTCAGGTTGGACTATAGTTGGTTAGTTCCTGAACTGCTGCTAAGATTATTGCCAGCGCATGAACTGTGTGTATACACTCGATGGACATGGTTTTGCTTACAAATGTACGTCCACAAACAATTTGACTGACAAATTTTCTTCTTTTTGTAGGTTAAACCGAAGATTCTTTGACTTGCGGCTAGTGCCTCACACATTCTTTGATTCTCTTGAAACTCCATTGTTTTGGCCGGTCTTGTTTCATTTGTTGGGTAATATATTTTCATTTTCATTTTTCTCTTTTATTATTTTCCAGCACAACCAACACTGTAAATAGTGCAACCCCTTCATGGCATAGTTTTTTAGGCAGAAGGGTGATAGTTTCGTGCATACAGGCCTTGCTCGATGTTGACAATGAGGGTTGTGAACAATGTTCGGTTTCTGTTGAAACATTAAATACATACTGGGAAAGTAGCGCCGATTTGAGATTGAGAATCCTTTTTCTGCCAAGTGATTTTTATGCACCATGTTAAAACATTCGTGACGTGCTCCAAGTGAACACAGCTGGTTCTGTAACAGTACAAAGATAAAGTACAAAATGAAAATGAATTATGACTTTTACAGCTAGATTTACTAAAGGAGAAGACAAATCGGCAGTTTTTTATAACAGGATCGAATCTTCATCTTGCTTTTCTCCAATGTTCGAGGTGACATGCACAAGCATTTCCTGGTACAATATCTAAATATTGAGCAAATATTCCCTTTCTGGTAATCCTCGCTCAAAATGTCATCCTTGATTGGTCTTTCCAACTTCTTGACAAATCTTGAACAGATTTGCTTCATTGTAATACTCTAATGGCAATCCCAGCAACCAAAACCAGAACACTGTTGACATTGTCTTTGATTGAGATGGCACTAAGTTTTGTTCCCATTTACTCACAGTAACGATTCAAGATAATCCAAGTACCGCCCAAGAACTTTATGGTAATCTTCTTCGTAATTAATCTGTAGTGGATAAGTCCATATTCAAAAATCAATCACTTCAAAATCCCCTACAAAACCCCAAATCGTTCTGCGATGTCTGAAGATTTTGAATTCAATCGATCCGACTTACCCAAGAGCTTCAGACTATCTTGTCATGGTTTACGGATCTCTTCAATCAAAGTTGAATTCATCTTTATCGATGAACACACAGGATATTGATTTGCGCTTTACTTTTCCATCCTATATGACTGGTTTGCATAATTCACAACAGAATCCTCATCTAATAGAGCAACCCATTTTTTTTTTACATTAAAACTATAGAGCTTGCATTGCTGATCGCCATCCAACAATATTCGAACATACATGAAAATCAAGAAAATAATTTACACAATTAATCCAACAGGATCAACACTTCTATGGAAACTCGTGATTTTATGTTAATTCTTCAGGTCAATTTCCTGTTTCAATTATAAAAAAATCTTTATCTATCTAAAACGATAAGGATACACAAAAGGGTTTGGCTACACTGGACTTTCAGTAGACACACAGTAGACATATAAGATCAACATTTCATGACTAACTCCAGAACTCAAAAGGCAACCAAATACAATAGTGACCAAAATTGGATGGAGAAAATACAGGTCAGAAATTTCTCATTCTTTGGAGGTTGTGCCATTTGGTTCCACGTCCATGGATTCAGCATCTGCCGACTCCGCAGCTTTTTCGCCCTTCTTACCTGCAGAATCACATTTTTCACACATATTCACTGGTTGTAGTGTCTGAAAGAAATGTATATATATCTAGTCGAATGCAAAGACACAAGGGAAAATATTGTATTCCAACTAACCTTTTTTCTTCTTTCCACCACCTTTCTTCTTGGTCTTTGTGCCCAAAGCTAACCAGGCTTTTATCTCTGGATCATCTATTGTTTTGGTGGGCTGCAGCTCCTGTAGAGGATGAGACGTGATGCGATCTGACCCGTTTGGCATCAGCAACACAGTAAATTTGATGTGCGCAATTAGGTCACCTGCAACCCAGCAGTCAAACTTTGACTCGTAGCAAATAAATCATATAACTCATAGATGTTCTAGTAAGTTGACAAGCAATTTAAATTTTTTAACAATGATGGTTCCAGTCATATAGCTCATACCAGGCTTCTCGTGAAGAACAGGATATGGCTCCAAAAGATCATGATTAACACATTCTACTAGACCCAGTCGAGCACGCTTCTCTTCCAAAGCCCTGTTATACATTCATCCTGCTCATTACCTTAGCGAAAGAAATGGGCAATAGTAGAAACTAGAAACACGCTTAAAAGCCACAAAGAATATTGAAGAGCAAAGCAAACCTAGCAGTAAATGGCATGATAGGAAATTTCTGATTTATCTCACTGAATATGAATCGCGACGTCTTCATCTTCAGGAGATAATTTTTGTCAACAGCTCTTTTGTAAATAGTCGTCTGTTTCTCATCCAACAGCTTAGGCTGCAAGTGTGACACAAATTCTGAGTTAGAAATGTTTGGGTGCACAGAAACCAAATTTACTTCATGCTGCTATAAAAGCATACAACATAGAGATATACCTTTCCTTCGCCAGTACTTGTAACAATATCAATAGCATAAACCTCATTTTCCTCAAATTCGGCTTCATCTACTCTCGTCTCAGGACCTGGGACACTAAGCACAACCTTGTTCCCATCTATCACAAATTGCTTCATTTGATGACTTAGTACCCCTTCAACAATCTTGCAGTCATAAGCCGTGGCAACTTTCTGAATTGCTTCAGTCACATCTTTGTTCTGCCAGCAATAGAAACACAACTCTTTAAAGATGTGAACTGGATGGTAAGAAAAATCAAAGTGTACCAGCACAGATCACAATTAATTTCATATTCACGAGAAAAAGTTTAAATGACTGTCAAAATATCACACTGATTTAGCAAGTACAATTTAATTGTTGCAAAATAATTTCATCTAAGAATCAAGCTGTGCATCTCTAAGCTAATTGATATTTAAGCTCATGCCTAATTGAAGCAGACAGATGCTAGAAATTACCCTGGCTAAATAAATTATCAAGAACTCCACCATGTATACAAGTCCAAAACCAGATATACAGACTAGATCAATATTGACAACAAGCCAAATAGGAAACACCATGGAAATAGATCGACTTGCAAACATGCATTCTTCCAGCCCATTAGGAACGAAGAGGAATGCCATTTATTTTCCATTTCACAGACTATGCCCGAAAAAATTGACGATCAATTTAGATTGTGAACTTAAATGAACAAAAGATTCTAAAAATAAAAAGATTGGGGTCAAATCCCAAAAGGCTAGTTACAGATTCACAGACCAGAACAAGGAAAAAATAAGAATGAGGGATTGATGTTCTTTAAAGGGGCTCCCTTTCTCATTTTGTGCGATCTTTACACCTCAAAACACATTCTCTTTTCTTCCATGTTGAGGAAGGGTGAGGAGCGAGAAGTAACAACTGGAGTGTAGTGTCTAAATGGTTCAGCTTTTCCCATTCTATTTTTAATTAGAAGGGTGGGGTAGGGGTGGAACTTTTTCAGCCACAAAAAGAAGACGTGAATGAACGGCCAATAAACAACAGCTCTATCCTGTGCTGTACAACTATGCTATCTGCATAAGTTTATTATCAATCATTGCTGCCATGTTATTAATTGCAACAATTGAGTAAAACGGTTTCAAGATCAAATGTGCCTTATTATTGTACCAGTCCAATAAGGAATTAACAGAAAAGAAGGAAAACTCAATCTAATAAAGTTAAAGAAACCACAAAACATGATTGCTCTATCAGTGTAACTATGACTATAGTGAGCTTCATCGGATGCAAGATCCATAGCCAACGATTATCATCATCAAGTAGAGAATCACATTTAGAGTGAAAAGGAAAACATCCTTGAAATTGAACAAGTGAAAAAGATGAGCTGTATTTGGTACAAAAAGGAAAGCATCAAGTCAAGAAAAGAAACTGAAATTACTTTTATCAGATATTCGAATAAAAGTTAAAATCAACTTAAAATTCTGAACGATTTCTTATTAATTACATGATTTTGGCTCACTAGAATTGGCTGGTATTACAACACCATAAGTAATTCACCAGTCGGAATTTTCAAGCAGGCCAATTACATTGTAGGCAACAGGGAAAAGAGTGGGACCAAGAGGAATTGATCGCCTCGGCAAAGTTGCCTTCTTCAGTGACACTGACTAATTCTTAATTAAATATCTACATACTTCTCGAATCATGATTGGTTTTCAATGTTGAATGACAACTTTGTTGACAACATGCCACGTGGCATGTTGTCATTGGACAATTTGAACAACAATTTGTTTTTTTGAAAAACAATTTTTTGACAACTCGTACATTGTCAACGATGTTGACATCCAACATTATACAAATAGCTTAATCCATACTTCTTTCTAAAGGTGCTTACAGACATTAAATTACAGCATCCTTCCAATATTAACAATTAAATACCAAGTAATTGGTGAAGTATTAGATTGACACCAATAGAAAAAATTTGACATCCCCTGTCAGAGTAACTATGACTTTAGCTTCATCTAGATGTAATCCATAGCTAATACAAAGTATTCATCATTTAGGGGACCTGGAAGGATATAATAAGAAATAATGTGCAAGTGCCTCTCTATTCAGATAACAAAGAAATTGATGGAGAAAAAATTCTTTATATTGATATTAAAAACTGCCGACACAGATAGATAGAAACTTGTAAAGGGTTGAACAAAAATCAAAATAACTGCTGCCTTAAATGAGATGTAGCTCATCATCTGCGAATTCCATTGGATATGTGAAAACAAAAACATAAAAATGGAAAACAATTATCAGCGAATTAAAAAAAAAAAACCAAGTCGACAAATTCAAGAACATGACTTTTTCATTCAACAGTAATCAGTCAAGAGTCCAACAAGATTGCACTCAACAAAAAAAGCAAAACTAGAAATAGAACATACTTTTTTCCCGGGTCGCACAAGCCTCAAAGCAACCTCAGCAGCAGTATTTGCTGCAGCAATAACATCAGCAGCCCTGCCAGACACAGGGCCTTCTTGAAGAACATGGGTGTGAGCAACTACAGCCATAAACCCGTCTATGTGACAACCCATATCACTGCATTCAAACAAAAACCCATCTTCGCAATCGTGATATTGACAAGTTCAAGAATAAAAGTATGCGTTTGTATATGTACGTGTAGAAGAAATATTACATTTTCAACATGTCGCCTTCTTCCAACACAGTCTCGTCACTGGCCAATGGTGAAAAATGGCATACTGTGTTGTTTACAGAAATGCAAGTCGGGAAGGCAACACCCTTTTCGATTTTCTTCTTCACGTTTTTGTACATATTCCCAGTTTGACTAAAAATAAAACCCATCATTCAAACAATTAATTCCAGTAAGCTCCATAATGATAAATTATGTCACAAACATACATTTACAAATATAATATACCAACTTAATATTAAAGATTCTTTTTTTTCCCCTAATGAAAACCTGATCCTATAAAACACACAGAAGGAAAAAGATTACTCTCTGATGAAAGCATCCCCTTTCTCGCAAAGGTCAACAATCTTAGCCTTGGGCTTGCATTCCGACAACACTAACTGCAACGCCTCTGCAAACATTGAACGTTATTCCCTTATTTGATAAATTCATCACACATTAAATAGAAAATCAAACACGTCAGTCAAGAATAAACAAAAACCTGAAAGTTTAATTCTTTTCATTGTCTCAATTAAAGATTTCAAAACAACCACCACAACCACAAACACAAACACAATTACATATAAATTCACACATACAAAAACTATTGATACATAGATAAACGCAGTTATCTATATCCACATAGAATTGAAAAAGGAGGATTAAAGGTAGTAACTGTTAACAATTTCTGCAGCGGATTTGTATTTGGTAACAACTTCAGGCAAGGTGAGATCCAGCTCCATCTCTTCTCTTTCATCATCCGACATCGTTATTACTACAACAAAATTAAAAATAAAGCTAAAAAATAATTACTATTAAAAATTGAAGTTATCAAAAATTTGTCAAAAAAAAGGGAAGAAGAAGCACAGAATCAACACAAAGATACGCACCAGCAGGAACTGCAGCGGTATCAGAATAAGAAGTTTGTCAAACTAGGGTTTATAGCAACACACAGAGAATAGTACAGTGAACGGTAAGTGTGTGTAAAGTTTCTGAGTTTGAAGTCGGCACTGTATGTAAGACTGTATAAGTCCTTATATATAACGTGTGGTTTCGTGTTTCTAGCGACTCGGTAGGGTTTCAACGAAAACGATAACAAGGAAAAAAGGAAATTTTCGTAGTGTTGACTTTAGAAACTTGGTCACGATATTTTTCAAAATATATTTTTTTCTTTCTTATTTTCAATCGTATTTTTTTATAAAATAATATTATTTATAAATTCAAATTTTCTCTCTCTCTCTTATTTTAACTACACATTTTTATCAAATACTATTTTAAAATATATTTTGAACAAAAAATGAGGCTCAAACGGGCACTAGATATATTTCTTGCATCAAACTGTATGTTTTTTTTCTCTCAAATTATCAAGAATTTCTCTCTTTCTTGTATTTCACTCAAATCTGTATTCGAGAAAGAGACATTCTTTTTAGATTGAGATCGATTGATCTTTTCCTTTTGAATAATGCTACTTGCAGTCGCTCGTTGCAGCAGTCGCCATATGTGACACACGCATAGCATGTAATTATTTGATGCATTAATATGGTAGTTTTTTACCACATTTAATGCATCAAATACATATTTGACATGTGTGTGTCACATAGGGCGACTGCTGCAGTGAACTACTGCAAGTAGCATTATTCTTTCCTTTTGATTGTGCAATGACCTATTTATAGGAGTCTGATAAGGGTATTTTAATCATTTTCATGATTTGACATTTTAATTATATTGTTGAAATTCATCATTAAGTTTTCATTTTCAAAGTTTGTTGATTTCTGTGTTTTCGTGACATGCATTGAAATACTCTGTTTTAACACAAAATCGTGATGCACTAACATCAAAGTTGATTCGTCATAATTTACACTGAAATGAGTCTTGTCCATGTTTGAGGTCATTCGTGGCATGTAATCATGGTTATATACAAGTGTTATAAAGTCCTACGGATTCTTGTTCAAGCAAGCATCGGGGATCGATGCATTCTCTTGTCCAAATAAACCTCGGTGATCAACGCATAAATATTCATTTTAAGACAAGTGGACACGCAGATGACCCCATGTTGTAGTTAAAATGACGTTTAGATTGATCATGATAATATCTGTGCGTAACATTAATTTCCCAAATCCAACATTATTTTTTAAGGTTACATAATTAGATATTTTATCCAACAATTTTCATGGTTGTATTTAAGCAATGGTGAAGTACAATCGCGCAAGGTGTAAGATTCCTCCATAATGGATATCTCCAGAATTTGCAATACATTATTGATATAAATATTGGAGTATCTTCGGAAGATTTTTCCACTATTTTATGCGAGTAAATTTCAGCCTCTAGCGAGCTGTTATTTTGGGGAATTAGGAGTATTTGTGCGAGGACAAATGATTTAACCACATATTGTTAATAGGCTTTTTCAAATTTAATCATATTTAGCCCTTTCTCATTCGTTTTTTTTTTTCCATACTCATTTTCAACCATATTTTCACAATAAAATATTATTTACGTAAATCCAGAATATTTTCTTATTTTTTAACACATTCTCCCAAAATTTACTATTCAAAAACTCATTCTTTCCAAAAAAAAAAATTTGTCAAACAAGGACTTAATTAAAAGTATGTTTGGAAGGTGTTAAAGAACAGTTTAAATTATAAATGAGTGGTGGAAAATTGTGTAATATTTATAAATTCCTCGAAATTTGTGGATGAAAAGTGGGTTCGGTGATAATAATCATGATTCATACATAGCCAGGGTGCCATCAACTCAAATTTTAATAGATTTCTTAATATTTATAAATTTCATGGATTTAATGGAATTCAATAAAATTTATCAGATTTCATAAGATTTGAATGAATTTCTATTTTGTAGATTTCAATAGATTTTCATGGATTTGTAGACTTCTCCATTATAATTGTATTTTTACCTCCTCAATTGTTAACCGAACTCTGTAAAAAAAAATTAATTAAAATTCCACCGTACCATTTCAAGTGTATTTTTTTTTTTTTTCATACTCATTTTCAACCATATTTTCACAATAAAATATTCTTTAGGTAAATCCAGAATATTTTCTTATTTTTTAACACATTCTCCCAAAATTTACTATTCAAAAACTCATTCTTTCCAAAAAAATAAATTTGTCAAACAAGGACTTAATTAAAAGTATGTTTTGAAGGTGTTAAAGAACAGTTTAAATTATAAATGAGTGGTGGAAAATTGTGTAATATTTATAAATTCCTCGAAATTTGTGGATGAAAAGTGGGTTCGGTGATAATAACCATGATTCATACATAGCCAGGGTGCCATCAACTCAAATTTTAATAGATTTCTTAATATTTATAAATTTCACGGATTTAATGGAATTCAATAAAATTTATCAGATTTCATAAGATTTGAATGAATTTCTATTTTGTAGATTTCAATAGATTTTCATGGATTTGTAGACTTCTCCATTATAATTGTATTTTAACCTCCTCAATTGCCAAATACAAATTATTAACCGAACTCTGTAAAAAAAAAAAATTAATTAAAATTCCACCGTACCATTTCAAGTGTATTTTTTTTTTGTGAACCAAATTATGTCGGGATGAGCAATTTTATGCATGTTATGTCGAAATATGCAAATTCTAATGGTTAATCAAGTCCATCTACACTATATCTAAATTGCTTTTGAAATGTCACTTCTGTTGACCCCCATCTCCCGTGTAAACAACTTTATTGGTAAGATGATGAGAAATTAGATACTAAAAAGCCAAGTTATTTGATACTGAAAAAACCAAATTATTGTTTATTAAAACAAACTCATAAGTTGTCATCTAAAAGCAAAAAAAAATGTAAACTTGTCTAAACAGAATTCAATTTTCATTATTCTTCGTTTACAACATCTACCCACATATTTGAAGCTATACTGGTTCTCCATTCATTTCACTTTGTTGCAGTTTCAATAATATTTTCATCCTCTTCAATTAAGAGTAATGATGATGTAGACGAATCTTTACTATCTGATTCAACAGGAAATTCATCAGAACGACACTCTATGCGAAGAAAATTATGCAATCATGCACATGCTAACACCATCTCTGCTTATGTTTCAAATGGAAATGGAGGTACTGATTTAAAATCGTAAATCACGATTTGAAAATACAAAATACTCTCTCAATTACATTTCTCAAGCTGGCATGACAATGATTGAATAATTTATTAGCATTTTCTGGATTATGACCCTGACCACCAAAATCCTAGAGATGATATCGGACACCTCGAAATTGAGCAAAGAACTGACGACGATTGGGAAATCCACAATCCACAAGAAAATATTTACCTAAGTATACAATTCATACATAAATCACCTCATGTCATGAAAAAGATAACTTAAAACCAATTGAAAAAAAAAAATGATTACCTCTTGGTACTTTAAGTCAATTTCTTCTTACTAAACCATCATTTAGTAGTTTGGAATCGTGAGCTAAACCTTCCAATCCACTAAGGATATAAATGAATTCCAAATCAAAATTGCAAGCCGCCAATACATTTTGTGATATTATTCTATGAAGATTACGATAGTTGTTCATGTCACACCCTGATATCATAGCCGGTATGTGTGTGTCATCAATAGCTCCAATACAATCCTAAAATAGACATAATATTTTAATGATTTATTTTATTATTATAATAATAAAATTTATGAATAATATATTATAATTTACCTTAAAATAATGATAAAATCTTGTACTTTCTCTTATATTGCTTGGCACTGTAGATCCAGGCTTGACCATCATATCAGGTGCAATTGTGTTCAAAGTCTTTAAAATTTTGTTGAAATTTCTGCTAGATGTGGAATGTGCTCGACCAAAGGTGACGCGGAACGGAAGTAAAAAATTTACCAGCGTAAATCTTGGAAATAAGAAAATTGGAATTCTCCAATAACGAAACTTGTATGCAATCAATAATAATGTCGGAAATGTTCAAAAGGCCTTTAAATAAGCGTTACAAGAAACCTTAAAAACATAGAATAGTAAAACGTTCCAAAATAGCTAAAATTCAAAATGAAAATATGGAAATTAACTATTCGGAGGTCTAAACGAAGGAATTTGGCTAAAATCTCGAGATCTCAAGACGGCCCAAGTCCAATTTTTCAGGCCGTTTCCAATTAACCAACCAAATTTCAGCCCATTCCGACACCGTTGCGACAAATGATAAAATTGCCCCTGACGCGGTCTTTTTTTTGTTAATTTTCTGCCCAGCACTTCTTCAAACTCCAAAACTAGTTGTCCTACATCAAAAGGTCTTTCGAATAAGACAATATCAAGAGTTCTGATTAACTGTAAGTAAGAATGTTGCAAGCATTTTTTCAACATATATATATTGTGTATCCCTCAGAGGCCTTTTTTCTCTTATGATATTGCAAAGCTTTAAAAACACATTTGGATACATCCTATGTATCTGTCTGAAGATTTCAGGATTTTCATTCAATACCTTATGAATATAATCATATCCAACTGTAGTGATTGATTGTCGAAGTGGACGTTCTATGTATTCACCACTCATGATAATCATCAACTCATTTAATACTTGAAGTATTGCTTGAAGGGTCATTAAAACAAACTTGATAATTTCATCAAATTCTTCCTCAGTTTCTTGTCCGGTTCTTTCTTCCATTACTTCTTCCATCCAGAAATACATAGTTTCTTACAATTTAGAAATTCACACTACAAAAATATATAAATACATAACTGGTCATAATAAAAATTTTAATTCTACAAACATTTAACATCAACTATGTCATTAGTCTTTCATTCCAAACTTATGAATGAAAGCGGGTGCTTTGTAGCGAGTGTAATTATCCAAATTAGAAGTCTCTTTAATAGCATCCCATATGTTGTTCTTGTGCTCCATTTCCTTTTTCTATCTCTTTCCCTTTTCTCCAGCAACTTAAACATTTCTCGAATGTCAGTTGCAATTCCATTAATAGAATCCATGCCGTGAGAAATCTTTTCTTGAAAGTCAGCTCGGATCTTGGTAACAAATGAGCTAGAATTCTTACGTTGAGTTCGCTTTCTATGGCCATTATTTTCTGTAGTACGTAAAACTTCCAAAAATCATCATCGATTGATAAATTATCATACATATACATATAAACTTGTTCACCGCAAAGAAAGAGGAGAGAGAGAGACAGAAACTTGTCACGACAAAGAAAGTGAGAGATGGAGAGGCGAAAAAATAGCTGCGGTGGATGGCGTGAGAATCTATGAAATTTTGAGGGTTAGATATAGAATTGTTACAGATTTTGGTATTTATGTTTATGGCTTGAAATTTTTTAAAATCTATTAAAATCCCTCTAAATCAAGTAGCTATTGAGGATAACTAAATTTCTCAAGAAACTATTGAAATCTAAGTTGAGAACGCCTAAATTTTTAAGTATTTATAAAAATCTAAATTGAGGACACCTAAATTTTAGTGAATTATATTTTAATCTGGGTTGAGGACACTTCAATTTATATTAATGCCCCGTTCAGGAGGGATTAAAATCCAATTAAAATTGAAAATATGGCCATTATTGGGTCCCACTCCTCTAATAAAAGTCAACAATAACGGCTATATTTTCAATTTTAATCCGATTTTAATCCCTCCCATACAAGGCCTAAGAGAATAAAATACACGAATAAGAGAGGGTAAATACTATTTTACAATAGTTTTACAACAAATCACGTAATCAATGAGTTTTCATTCGCACCATCATCACGAAATATATTTTTCCTACATGCATCAACAATGTAAACGTGTCACGATCTTTGCAATTGATATTTCACAATACACGTTTATGAGAGCATGATTTCTAATTTTAAACAAAGAACTACAATTTGGTCAAACATATGCAAATACCATATGATGTCTATATTCATTTCATCCCGATTCGCCATCTATGTGTCCTTACACCCAGCCATTCCGATGAACAAATCCACTAAAGAGGCAAATGGCCCAAAGGACATTTAGCCGGGAACATCAAGGTAGAAATTAGTTCCTGTACAACTCAATAATCCAATCATAATACTGTAATGGTTCTTTTATAAGTTTGAAATCAAGAAAATGTGAAAAATCCCCAGTTTTCAATGATAGATAAGTAATTTGATATTGCACAGAAGTGAATTTTAAGCCATAAAGAGTCTCTGAACCACTATTCAAAGTTTCGACTCTTGTTTCCATTTTGGAAGTTACAGAAAAGAAACACAAGGTAAAACAAAAGGAATTAACTAATTTTCATGAACAGATAACATACATGAAAGCTAGCATAAAGCAGCCATGAACAAATGAATTGCTAAATGGTCAGTATCTCCCAGACTCCCTTCTTATCTAAAATTTTGGCTCTTTCCTTTTGTCTAAAATTCAGTCCTAAAATATGGAAGATTCTCCCAACTGCAAAGCATAATATACACCAAAAGGCAGTCCTCCACACGAGTACCTCTGAATCCTACTAGTAATTCATTCCACGTAAGATATGAACATGTGCCCAGAATGATTCGAATTCACAGAACTAAATTAGCATTAGAAATAACAGAAACATTTTCAGGAGTCAGGACAACTACCAGAACGAATGCATGCATTAATAAACAAACACACCCCATTGGCACTAAATGAATTGCAATGTCATAGCAATTAATAATCCCAGGTTTCTTGCATACAGATTTCTCAAGTTCAAAAGAACGATAGGTTGATCAGGAAAAATATGGAGAAATAAGGGCCCTTCTTATAGGAATCCAAAAAGTGGTTTCTCTATTACTACCACCTACTTCAATAATGAACAAAAATCAGAATTAACAAACTTTTGTTTCAAGAACAGCTCCAAGCACTTTATCGTTCCTCATCTACGTCCTAATTTCATATAAGTAAGAAAATCCAAGCAAAAGATACGTATTGGCTAACCGTAATTTGAATAGAAAATGAGGAAAAGAAAATCTGAATCGTTGCCTTTTCTGATTTAAGAAGTGTGAAAGAACTCAAAACCTCATAATTTCAGAGCCTCAAACATCACAGGAACGTTGTGAAGAGAAAGAGTGCAAAATTGGTCTTATAATGATGCATTCTTCATATATCTCCTCTCATATAAGCCAGTTATCTGGTCAGCTACAGCCCACATAATGGCCTGACCAGGTGGGATCCTCATAAGCCGCGGCAGCAGTCCCTTCCACAATGCACGCAAACCTTCCTCAGCATATATAGTTTTGATAGCATGAACCATGCCTTTGTACTTCAACACACCTCCAGTACGGCTCTGAGCCATTAGCCTCGTCTTTACAACATCGAAGGGCCCAGTGCATACTGGACCAGCCGTCCCTGCAAGAAATCCTGATATCATGGACTGCCATGGCTGGAGCACTTTCCCATCACCCTCATGTTTGTTCCACAAAATCCCATCAAATGCATTCTTGGCTGTAAACATGGCAGCCTGATTTGTCCCATTGCGCATAACAGTTGGAGCAGCTCCCGCCCACAGACCAATTATACCTTCTTCGCGGATGATCATACGAGCACAATGTAGAGGTCCTTTGTACTTCAAAAGTTCAGGACTCAATCCTTTCTGCTGCTGTAGTCTGATTTTCACCACCTGCATCGATTATATTTTGTCATCCTAACTGGCTTAGACATACATTCCACAGAAAAGAAAGCCCGAGCTATCAAATAGTGTCAAGATAGCCAAAACAAAAAGACTATGGAAAAATCCAACTTCAAAAATTTCAGGTAAATGGCATCGTTCAAGTAATGCAGGATTCATATGCACACGAACGACAGGTAGCATTATTTGGCACTAGCACCAAAGCTGTCAAGCACAGAAATGAATCAGACTAAGAGGGCAGGCAAGTAACCGAATCTTTGGAAGCTAGGAAAGGGAAACTAAAATACTACCCCTACAATACTCAAAATAGTATGTGCAGCAACTAGCTGTTACAATAGGGCATAAATGAACAGCTGGGGGCTGGAGATAACAATCATGACGGGGATAAAAATGTTAGAAATTGATTGATATGTATTAATTGTTGGAGAAATTGCCACCCAACCGCATCCATCACGACCCATGGTTCACTTAATCTAAGACCAAACATTCTGAAGAACTTGGAGTCAATTTTACTCTAATTTCGTAATCGAAATTCTAAAATGATATACATTTATCAGTCACACATATTACTCATTTAAACCATACTACATAGAACTCAAGTTCCAGCATTCACAATCGCATTTAAATTAACTCGCAGTGAAACTTTCAGTTATAAGCTAATGCAATGTTAGAATTGATTGTCAAACATCCAATCCGTGGAATTCTATTAAACTTAATGATTTGCATTTGATAATCAATCGAGCTTAATAATCAATCACACACATTATTCAGAGCAATATGTGGTCAATTTGTGATTTCACCCTTTCCACTTGAATTCCTCAAGGACCCGATACTGTTTGCAGAATAAAAGCTAAATCAAGATCTTAAATTAACGGGGGGGAAATGAAGAAGAAACAGTAAGTAGACCATCACTAAACATTTAATTATTGTTTAGCCAACTAGTAAAAATAAAGAGTCGATCAAAACAAGCGTGATTTGACATTTAATAAAGATTAAAACCCCTTTAACTAGTTAAATAAAGAAAATTAACTAACCTCAAATGGCGTGACAATAACAATAGCTTCTAGCACGCCCGCCCCGAATCCGGAAAGCAGCCTCCCATGGTGACTGAGATTACCCGTTTGCGAGTCCTTGAACGCCGACTGCAGGACGGAATTGGAACCCATCCGGAGAGTATACTTCAAAGTCAAATGCGAGGCGAATGGAGTCAATCCCTTCCATAATGCCCGCACACCTTCATTTCGAGTTATGGTGGTGCCGCAGTGGATAATTCCCTTGTACGAACCTGACCGGTCCAGCTGGAGACGAGTCTTGATGACGTCAATCGGCTGTAAGCAGCACGCCTCCATTACACCTCCCAGTGACCCCGATAGCGCCTTCACGTACGGCGGGATTGTTTTTTTGCTCTCATGAGTTTTCTCTGCCATTGGAAGACTGGAGGAGGGGAGGAGGAGGAGGAACGGTGTCGTTTGGTAGGGTTTGGATCCTCCTCTTCGTCGCCTTCTTCTCAGATCAATGAAGACGAGGGATATTCACAGATTTCAGTTCAGGATACTGTGTGATTATTAAATAGGGTAATTTGCAAGTTTACTCCCAAACTTTGTCTGGTTTTATATTCCTAATTTGCTAACAAATTGACAGCCGTTAAACAGCCCGTATAGCTGGCCAGTACTCTACGTTTAATGAAGGGCAAAATTGTCCAATCATTTAATCCAAATATAAACAGACAAATAATAAAACAAGCGTGAAATAAAATAACTTTTCGTCTTCAACCCAACTCCATACTGAATAAGGCCACATTACCGCTTAATCTTACATTTATTAAAACTCCTGGGCTTGCAAACGCCATTGAAAGCAAAGCAAAAATGTAATAATTTTTTTTCTTTTCCTTTTCTGATGTTTTTTAATTTATTTTTTTTAAAAAATGTGTGTATGTACAATTTTACCCTTCATCAAAAGGCATGTGCAAGTCAGCTGACGTCACTTAAAATTTGTTTTCGACCGATTCTTTTAAAAAGTCCCAAACATTCTAATCTACAATATATTAAGTGAGAATTATTTTCTGGATGATTTTAGTCATAGTACAATTTAATTATTTCAATAGTATCCTACATTTCGTTTTTTAATATATATTTAATTGAATATTAATTATTAAACATGCACGTAAATAAATAAGTGAATTCTATGAGAACAATCAAATTGATTCATGAATATGGAATTTAATTAATTTGAATCAATAAATATAGAAAAAAGAATAATGTATATACATTTTTAAAAAATGGGGTGTAAGTGAATCAACGTGAAATTTAATTAATTTGAATTAATAGATATAGAAAAATAATAATTTATATACATTTAAACAAATTGAGTGTACATGAACCAACGTGGAATTTAATTAATTTGAATCAATAAATATAGAAAAATAATAATTATATACATTTAGACAAATGGTGTTATATAAATAGCGTGCAGCGTACGTTTAGCTATGACCAGTTTCTCAAATGTGGGAATTAAAACCAAATAAAAAAATGTTATATACGAGACTGTTACTTTAGCCAGAGATTGAGGACTAAGTTTGCAATTTACCTTTAAATTATTAAACTGGAAATGTCGTGATCGTGGAGGAATTAAAAACGAATTTTTCCCTCGCGAGGTGGCTTCGGACGTGGGGTTTAAAGAAAGGACACGTGCTCATTTAACTTTAACCAAAAATTTTAAAATTGCACGTGAAATTAAAAAAAGTTCAATATTGACAGTCGATATTTTTTACTTTTATTGAAGTTAGTTCGATTTATTGATTAGACAACCATGCAAATTCACATTTTTATTTTTTAGCACGAAAGTAGTGATTATTAAAATTCGATTTTTGTACCGTTGAATTTTACAAGATGATATATTTGTATTTTTGAAAAGAGTTGGAATTTTTACTGCAATTTTTTCTTTATTTTTATTTTTTTAATTTAGTTGGTTTGCCTTTTCGTATATAAAGCGAATGACAAATTAGTCATTTTACGCGAATTTTTTGAAGGAAAAATGGACGAAGGAATATGCAATTAAGTGAAATATTGAGGGGGTTTTAAAAAATAAAAAATTAACACACAGTAATAATAAATTACAAGGATTAATGATGAAAAATGTCAATTTTCCTATTTTTTAAAAAGGAATAATTGCAACAGAAGTTCCAAACCTTTGAAATATTAGCAAACATTCCTCAAACATTTAATTTGTTGCAGCCGTCGCCCCTAACATTTTCAACAATTGCATGTGAGGCCCTTTGGATTGTTTTCATCCATTTTTCGTCAATTGGCCCAGAAAAATAAATTTTGACTATATTTTTAATCAATTAAAATGGGCAAAATGATTAATATCTATTGAAATAATTAAATAAAAGGATAATTGAATAAAAAATTTAAAAAGAAAAAGAAAAACGGCTGGCATCCTCCTCTGGCCATCTTCACCTTCAACTCCGACCGCCACCACCCAAACCCCTGGACATACATACTACTAGAAAGCCCTCATCGCCATCTACAACTTTCACCCAACGCCCTGCCTTGAACCCACCTGAACTTGCTAGAAAATTGAGCCAAAATAGCTTGCTCAAGTCCCAAAAAAGGCCGAAATCTCCAATTCCGACAACACCCATGTCATGTCCAACATTCCAGGTAATTATACACATCAATTCGCCCATGTCCATGGTCATCAATCATCCTTAAACGCATAGAAACAAAACTAGCGAACTACATCTTCGAACACAGCCACTTTGCAACTTTTAGATAGCTTTTCTGACACCGGTGGTACGACCCATGATCGCAGACAGCCACAACAAGCACCTACTCTTTATGGTGCGTCCAATGAACATATGAGTCTTCCCCAATTTGACCTAAATAGATACCCAGAGGAAGCCGACAATTTTTCTTTTTCTTTTTAAAATTTTTTATTCAATCATCATTTTATTTGATTATTTTAATAGATATTTACCATTTTGTCACTTTTTAATTGATTAAAAATATGGTCAAAATTAATTTTTTTGGTCAACTAATGGAAAAATAGATGGAAACCATCCAAAATGGCCTCACTTGCGATGATTGGAAATCTTAGGAATGACGGCTGCAACAAATCAAAAATTTGGGGAAAGTTTGCCAATGTTTCAAAGGTTTGGGGCTTCTGGTGCAATTATCCCTTTTAAAAAATGCAAAAGCACTAATTTTGAATAAATTTATTATAATCCGCATTATCTAGAGCTGTTATGTGTACAGAAAAAGTGCTACCGAAATTTTTACAGATAATCAGCAACGGACCCAGTACCCCGGTCGAGGGGNAACTCAATTCTTTCCTTCAATTGGCAATTCCGATTTTCGCCACTAGTTATCCGTCCGTCTTCTCCCGTCTGAGGTCCACCCACCGGTGAATTGTCACCACCACCGACCTCCAGTCTTGCCTATGAACGACTGGAGCTTCCTCACTTTGCGACTTCGTGAGTTTTCTGTTTTTATTTTTTTGTTCGTTTCGTTTCGTTTCGTGTTTTTTTTTTTTTTAATGTTATTTTCTACTTATGAGTTATGAAATCATGATTTATGATAATTTTCACTGCTGTTTCATGTATGATTTATGATTGGAATTAGGGAAATTGAAAATTTGGAATTGGATTTGGAATTTGGGGAAATTAAAATTGAATTTGGAATTGGGGGAATTTGAAATTTGGATTTGGAATTGGAAATTTCTGTTTTCTTACTGATTGTCAGCGTCCGCTCGGGCTAAACTTAAACACTGGGTCCGCAACTACAGATAACATTTGACATTTTTTTTTTTTTTTTGGAAAGTGGCAAAAAAAGAAAAGAAAGATACAGCATCTGTTGCAATTCTGGCAACAATTTCCCTGATCTTATAATATATAAAAATGCAAAATAAATATAGTTGACCGAATTCTGAGAACGAAACACGATGCAGGCAAAATTCTACTTGCTTTTCACCTATATATAAACAACAACATATTCTCCATTAAGCACCCAAGAACCAGAGTATGGTACGTATAACACCGCCTTGCATTCCCAACAGCACCGCTGGCAGCGGCGGCGGACGCTCATTCAAGAAACCAGCGGTAAATGTAATACAACCCTTTACTTCTTTTTGGTCTCTATGCACAAAACATGCTAGCCGGGCCGCCAAAAAGATGGCTTCTGGTTCGCCAAATTCTCCGTTGACTAAGCCAAAGCAACTTTTAATGACCGTGAGCAACAAGGCGATGAAATTCCGGCGCAAGAAAAATCCCGGCGAAAATCTTGGTGGAGACGAGGAAGGACTGTGGAAGAGGACTATATTGATGGGAGAGAAGTGTCAGCCGTTGGATTTCTCCGGCGTCATTTATTATGATTGCGATGGAAAGCAATTGCCGGAGGCTCTCGGAAAATCACCTCTCGCTCGTACCTTGCCGTTATATGCTTAAGTTTTGTCGGAGAAGTGAAACGAGGAAGAAGTAGGTGATAGGGCCACCTCTTAGTCTCGTTTTAACTTTTAAGGTTGCAGGTTTTGATGTCTGTAATCTTCATCTTTATTACTTTGATTTTGATTTGGAGCTTGTTTGTCACCCACTATTGTGAGAAAATTAGTGTAATGAATAGTATTTTTTAAAGAATGTGTTGTTGAAAATTTAAAGTAACTTTATTGATTTGTGTATAAAATATTTTATTGGGTGAATATGTGGTGGAGAATCTTACTGTAGTAAACAATTTTTTGACTTAATGAAAGACAAACGGGGGCTTGATTTGATTGATTATTAATAACCATTTCCTTTAACTCTTAATGAGATTGATTAGCTATCTAGTGAAAGAATTATTATGGATTTTTTTTTATTAATAGAAAATGTTTTTTTTTTAAAACTATGATTTTAATTCTTTTGATTGCAAAATTAATTAAGTAGCCCACTTTCTAAATGTAAAGAGCAATAATTTTTTAACAATAGGTAAATTAAATAAAAGAAATTCTTTCATATATAGAAAGTCATATACAATGTCAGTAATATTTTATCTAAAGGCATGTTTGATTGCCACATTTTCAATGGAAAATATCACATTCGAGAAAAACGAATTTCACTTTGACCGTTTGATTTCAACGCGGAAATGGAAATCGAATTCTAAGGTACAACCACTTTAAGCAACATTTTTTTTCATGAAAAAGGAATTCATATGGATTTGGTGGATTTTTATTTTTCAACTAACAAGAAATTGGAATTCCTTTCCACGTTTGCTTATCAAACAGACCCTAATATTAATTAGGGAAAATTGCAGCCGCGATCCCAAACATTTCATTTTGTTGCAGATTACACCCAAACCTTTAATTTTTGCGATCGAAGTCCCAAACCTTTTATGTAATTGCAGCGTCGGTCCCAAACTTTTAATTTTTGCGGCATAAGTCCCAAATCTTTGTATATAATTGCATCTTTGGTCCAAAACCTTTGTATGTAATTGCAGCGTCGGTTCCAAATCTTGAATTCCATCCATAAA